TAGAATTTTAAGATTTAGGCTCTAAAAAATCATAATTAGTGGCATTTTTGCAAATGAACACTCCTAAGTAGGGGTGGAATTATTATCCGGGATCCGAGATCCGATCCGTTATCCTTTCGGAAACGCTCCGAAAATTAGGATATTCGGGGAGTCCGGATCCGGATAAGGATAGTAAAATTTAGGATCCGTGAAAACAAAATCCGAATCCGGATAGCAAAATTTTAAAATCCGGATATCCGGATCCGGATCCGGACGCATTAAATATATTAAAACTATATATATTATATATCTATTAAGCTAATTTTATATAAATAAATATATATAAAAATTGATTTTAGTTTTTTTATCATAAATTATATTTATAATGAAAAAATACCAACTAATAATTTTTAAAAGTATATTTTTATTTATTTATTAATTATTTTAATTATTTTTAATATTAATTTCGGATCCGGATATCCGCGGATATCCTGATTTTTAGAAAGATTCCTAGAGTTCGGATATCCGGAGGTCACGATTCCGGATCCGGATAGTTTTTTCACGAATCCGACGATTCCGGATCCAGATACTCTGAAATTCCAGAATATCCAGAATCGTCCTACTCCTAGTCCTAAGTGACATTTTTACAAATATGCAGATAAAAAGTGGCATTTTTGCAATTTTCTCAAAGAATAAATTATAATTAGTTATCATACCAAATTACAATTTACACACTAACTAGTAAACACCCAAAATTGAAAAATATAATTAACTTAGCTAAAACTTATCAATAATAACAGAATTATTCTAATACATTTTCGTATGGGACGAGTGGAAGAACCGCGAGACACGTTGTTACATAGGAAGATAACGACAACGCAGAAAAAAGATTTAAATAAAATAGAAAACTCTTAAAAGGAGAACCAAAAAAAAACAGATAACAAAGGAACTCTTATTTCTGGAATCAAACCTTTCTAAGTTTTCATATAAATTCGTGATTGAATTTTCTCTGATGATTGGATTTTGCTCATAGAAACAAAACATAAGGAAGATTTTATTTGTCTACAACTACAATTACAAAACATGTTTTTATTCCCAATTTGATTTGGAAAGAACACCAAAAAATAACAACCAACCCTACCAAATTCATTACACCAACAGAAAATTCAAGCTTTTTCTTACATTTGGTGTTTGATCTCCGGTCAGTATCTTCTTCATTGAGATTACATTTCATAGGTTTTAGCTGAAATTGTAATTAATTTGTTCTAATGTATCTCTCTCTGTTTCTTCTTTATTTGCACGCTTAGATTCGATAAATGG